CCACCAGTTGTTGCTCAAGCCCCAGAGCTGCTGAGTTTCCGACCAACCCTTGGCTTGGGCCCCCCCCAGAAACCACCACGGCACCGTTGGCCCAGGGTTTGCTTTGGTTTGGGGGGGGTTTGTCTCGGGGGGGGCTGCTCAGGTGTGAACGGGGCAGGATGTGGGTTCAGCAGCCCCCTTGAAGCATCCTGAGCTGGCAGGGACCCAAAAAGATCATTGATTCCAACCCCCCTGGTCCTGCACAGGCACCCCAAGGATCCCACCCTGTCCCTCAAACCCTCCTGGAGCTCTGGCAGCCTTTGGGGCCCAAAAAAACACCCTCTGGGGGAAGAACCTCGTCCTGAAATCCAGCCTATTCCTAATATCCCACCTGATCCTGCCCTGGCACAGCTCCAGCCCTTCCCTGGATCCCATCCCTGTTCCCACAGAGCAGAGTTTGGAGCTGCCCCTCAGGAGGGGGCTCCCCCAGACCCTTCACCCTCCAGGCCACGTCCCTTCAGCCCCAAACCTCTGTCCCAAAGCCCCCTGAGCCGGAGGGATGTGGGGCAGTGTTTCAGTTCTGGTTGGGGGAGGATTGACGGGAATTAACAACCCTCGTTCCCAGCTCCGGGTTTCCAGGAAGAGGAGCCAGGGAATCAAAGCATCACGGGGCAGGATGTCACCCTGGAGACAACTGGGGACCCCCTGGAGACGACAGGAGACCCCCTGGACACCACAGGCCCCCCCACAACCCCCAGGGATGTGCCCACACCCAGGACGTGGCCGACGGAGCCCCCGACCCCTCCCTGGAGCCCCTCCAGGAACCAAACCCGTGAGTCCCACGGGGAAAGGAAGGGATGTGACACCCCCCCGGAGGGTCCTGCATGCCCTGAGCCCCCCAAAGTGCCCGTCACAGCCCCCCCAAACCCCAAAACCCCCCGTGTCTCCCCGCAGAAAACACGTCGGGTGTTCCCGCCAGGTACTGGTCCCCCCTCATCTTCGTGGTGGTCGCTCTGCTCGTGCTCTTCTTCACCTACCACAGGAAAAAGGGGGAAGGTGAGATCTCTCTCCCCCCTTCCCCTCGCTCAGCTGGGCTGGCAGGAAAGAGTGGCCTCTCAACCCACATCCTCAAAATACCCAGAAGTGTCGCAAAAATTCGGTTTATTTGGTAGAGAACCACGAGGGGGGTCCTGGTCATGAGACCACCGGCCCCCCAAAAAACCCCCTTCGGCCACAGCTGAGCCCCGTGAAGTTCCCCCTCGCTGGGATCCGGCTCTGAAAACCCAGAAATCCAAAATTCCCATCTCTGCTGAATTTTGCATCTCTTGGTTTCGGCTCTGCCCTTTTTCCCCCCTTGGGATTTCTCCTCCTGTTTTCACACAAATCTCGGGTTGGGGTTTTTTTTCTTCCCCCTCCTGCAAATCAATCAAAACTGGACCTTGGCAGGTTATTCCCGAGAGGGTCTTGGTGGGATTTTCCCAATTCCTTGTGGTCCTGCTGTTGTAACCCCCATGTCTGTCCCGGCCCACAGGGATTCGGGACCAAGCCGTGGCCGGCAGTGACTCCTCAGGTGAGACGGGATCCATCCAGGCTGGGAATGAGCAGGTGGAGAAGGAATTCCACGATTTCCAGGGGTGTTTCCCTGCTCCATCACTGACTCCACCTTTGCCTTGCAGATTTGGGGGTCCTGGACCACCCCCCTGCCCACGACACCACCCCGATAATCGCAGCCCCCCAGGTGAGCCCCGGGGGAACAGGGATCCCCTCCTGGGAATTGGGGAGCTGGGGGGGCTCAGGGACACAGCCCGGATCCTCCAGGGCTCCAGGGCCCAGCCTGGGCCTCAGTTTCCCCACAGACCTCCTGGCCCTGGGGTCCCCCTCCCACCCCTGGGGTCCCCCCTTGTCCCTGGGG